GGCGGGGTACTGGGCAGGAGGTGGGGTTGGGGCCTGGGAGCCACACTCCTTGTGAGGGGGTAGAGAAGTGTAAGAATCCCAGCTCCATCCCTCCCCCAGGCAGACAACTCAGGGCCTCAACGGGGCTCACAGGTGCCTCTCTCCAGGCCGCGTCCACTCTGATGGCCCTGCCAGCAACCCCAGCATCCCTGGTCCCCAGGGTCAGCCCATTACAGGTGAGATTTATCCTGGGCAGGTGTGTTCCAAGGCAGTATATTATCCAGGATTATGAACTGTAACAGGATAATCTCTCTAATGTAATTCAAGCTCTCGACATGGCTTATGGCTCCTTAATGTACCTCACACTGAAGAATTACAGGAACATTCTCCCTCCAGCTCCCATGTCCCCTCTCTATCTCCTTGTCAACCCCTAAGTGATTTAGGCAATCCCCTGCAGCCAGATCTGGGCGTTCAGTCATAATTCAATGCAGCTTGGTAAACACGATGGGCAAACAGCTCTCCCTGCCTGCTCTGCTCCTATGAAATCCTCTCTCCTCCTCCCCCAAACCCAACCACAAGGCACAGGCTGGGTGGGGACAACCTAAGACCCTCAGGACCCTGCAACTTGTCCCAAGATACCCCTGGGCACCATGGTTTGAGCCACAAGGTTTGCCCTTGAGGTCCCCCACCCCATCATGAACTTCCCCAGGCTTCATTCCCCAGAGCCACAGAACAATCTCAGAGCCAGAGGGATTTTAGGGTCCCAAGACCCAAGTGCTCTAGTCTGTGAATCAGCTGGGTAAACCACATGCAGTGCAGACAGAAGGTGCCTTCCTCATTCTCAGTCCTGTTTATTAAGCACTTACTATGCACCTGGCATTTTCTTAAGTAGTTCATGTGGCAGGGTCTCGCAGTAGACACTGGAGCTGGAGCCCATGGGCTCCTCCCGCAATCCAGGGCCTCCCTCACCTCCTGGGCACCCTGCCACTGTACCAAGGGAGTGGCCCCAGGTCCCTTCCTGCCTCCTAGATAGCACTGGTACATTTTCCCAGGGGCCCTAGAGCTCACGGGGGTGAACAGAAACCTGGCAGAGAGGAGACCACATAGATGCCCCTCAGCTCAAGCCGGGGAGCCCCTTGCCCTGCTCTCTCCCACCTCACTGCTATGCACCCTCACCTCACCTCCTCCAAACGTAACCACAGAGCCAGGGCCAGGCTGCATGTCCAAGGCAGGCTAACGAGATCACCACAGAAGAGCAAGTGATCTCAGGCTGGGAAGAGCTCCCCTGAAACCAGCTCTGTAAACATAAGTCTTAGCTGGGTGTGATGGCGAACACCTGTAATCCCAGCTCTTGGGAGGCTGAGGCAGGAAGCTCTTGGTGAATGTGAGGCCAGCCTGGGCTACATAAAGAGCTCAAATCCAGCCTGAACTACATAGCAAGACCCTGTCTCCAACAAAAACCCATCAGGCAGTTTCTGGGTTGGCAACGCTATCTAGTGAGTGCCTTCTATATCCACTGCATTGGTCTTTCCCTAATTCTTCCTGAGCTTGGGCAAGTTCCTTGGTGATTTGGTGTCTCACTTCAAATATAGTGCTCCATATGTGCAACTGCACAAACACACACACACACACGCACACACGTGCACCCCTCTGGCCAAGCTGCTCATCTCAGGTCTCTGTAACATTCAGTGATGGCTCCATTCTCTGCAGTGAGCTCTCTGGTCTCTGGCTCCAAATGTATCTGGTCTGAGGCAGAGTCTCTGCCATCAGGAATCCTTGCCCCAGGAGAGGACGCTGTGTGGACAGACATCCTCAGGGCCACGCTGCTGCACGCACAGGGAATCTGCACCAGTTGTTCACCAGCCTGCAGAAATGCAAGTGAGACCTGAGTCCTGCAGCAAGCACCAGCAGGGCCAGGTGTAGACCCCTGAGTTGTGATCCACCCCTGACTCCCTCTCCCTGAACCTCAGTTCCCTTGTCTATAACACGGGGTGGGGAGGAGGTTCTGGCCCCTTCCAGCCTGGAATTCTCTCTGAGGATTCCCTTCCTTTCCCATTCACCTACTCCTCTCCCAAGCCTCAATCCTCCTCTTCTGGCCGTTCCTGCTTCCCTTTTCTGGTCCGCAACCATCTCTCTCCCTCAGGAAGCCCTGAGACCTGTTAGTCCGGGCAGTGCCACGAGGGGGAGCCCTCACTGGGCTGTGGGAACAGGAAGGAAGCCAGATTGGGAAGGCTCCCATCGGCCCCTCTAAAACCAGGAGACCAGGACTGAAACAGAAGGTCGGGTGCCTGGGGAGCCCTGGCTTCGTATGTTACCTCCAATCCCTGGGTCGGACACTTTGGAGTGTCTGGTGGGGCTGTCTCATACGATGCTCTAATTCATGAGGCATGCAGGGTGGGATTGTCTGTCTTCTACAGTTGAGAGAACTGAAGCTCATATATGGTCACACAGCCAGCCCAGAGCAGGCCTGCTGATGGCCAAGTCCCCTAACTACTGGCCCTGGCCTTACACTTCATGTCCTGGGGCTTCACCCAGGCTGGGCACACCAGGGACCTTAAAGACACTTCCTGGATTGATGCCTGGGTGGATGGGTGGATGGATGGATGGGTGGGTGGATGGATGGATGGATGGATGGATGGATGGATGGATGGATGGATGGGCGGGCCCCAGGGAGGTCACAGTTTCCCTGGGGTGAGCCTCTCTGCTTTGGGCTGGTCCCCGGGGCACACAGCCAAGCGACACCTCTGCTCCACTCTGCCTTCCCTCTACCCTCAGGCCACGACCTCCATTTCTTACCAAGGCCTGGGCCTTCGAGACAAACTCAGTTCCTTCAACAGCTATCTTCTGAGTGCCTGACTGAGAGAGGAGCTGCTCTGGGGCCTGAGACTTTTCTTGCAGTCCCTGTCCTCTTAGCCCCTGCAACACGGGAGGGGAGACAGATGAGGAAGTAAATGCTGCTGGGAGACAGAGCAGCAAGGGAGGTCCTGCGATATTGGGGGGGCAGGGTGAGGAGTAGCAGATTCTGGACATTTTGAAGACAAAATAAACAAGATTTGCTGCGGCATTTGGGTGAGTGCTGGGAGAAAGAGAAGCGTGGACAACAACCCCAGAGTTTCTTCCAGAGCCTGAGGGGAAGATACAGTTCCCCTTTTCTGAGAGGAACAGGACGCAGGTACAGGTCCTGCGAGGGGAGGGGAGACTTGCAGGGTGAGGGGTTTGTTTGAGAGGCCCCCTAAATATTCAGGTGCAAGCAGAAAAATGGGTTTCCGGGTGTGCAGGGCAAGAGAGATTCATGGGAGAGCTAAGAGGACAAACCCAGTCTCTCCGGACTGGACTGCCTTCTTTCCCCGGGTTGGAGAAGTTAAACACTGCGCTCAAAAGCTAAGGCGCCAGAGAGGAAATACGGTAACCCTGCGCCGGCCGGGAGCCGGGCTGGGGGAGGTGGCCGGAGGGGGACGGGCTATCTGGGACCCCGGGGCGAGGCCCAGGGGCCCCTGCTGTCCTGCGCGCGCGCACAGGGAGGGGGCTGCCCAGATGAGGGGCGGACCGAGGTCTGGGTTTCTTCTCCAGGCCGGTCTTGACTGGCTTCCTTGAGCCACCGTCAGATATTTACTTAACCTTGCAGTTCAGCCTCCCGGGGGCCTGCGGGAGGTATGGAGGCCGGGCAGGGAGGGCTGGCCGGGCAGAGGGCACAGGGAGGTTTTTCCCCCCAAGACACAGGCGCGTGGGCCCAGCCCGGGTCCCCAGACCTCCGGGCGCAGCGGTCCCTGGGGTTCCTGGAGTCAGTGTGAGAATCGTGCAGCCTTTGAAAAAAGTCTGCCCCCCTCGATTGAAGAGCGAAGTCGAGGGCAGGGGTCACCGGTGAGCCCCGGGCAGTGTCAATCTCCCAGTCTCTGGGGTCCCGAACTCCCTGGCCACCAAATGAGCACCCGAGGCCCCTTGGTGCCAGAGGAGGCGGGGACTTCGGCTCTGTGCCAAGCCACCATATTTACCAGCCTGTGCCTGGGCTCGCGCTTCACCCCTCCGAGCCTCAGTTTTCTGTCTGTCTTGTGGCTCGACAAATAATTTTTTTTAAAAAAGCTACAGCTGCCAACTGACGCGTGCCAGGGAGCCGGGCACCATCCGGTGCGCCTCGTGTCCCCCCACTCCCGGCCCGGTGAACCCGCCAATTCCAGCTGGTGGATAGGGGTCGAGGAAGGTCGCAGGGGAGGCCAGAAGGGACCCCCCCACCACTCCTAGGCGGTGGCGCCCGGTCGGGCCCAGGGTCAGCGAGGGGGGACTGGGGAGGTTGCCGGCACGGAAGTCCCTGCTCGGAGGCCCCTTCCCTCCCCTGCCGGGCCCTGGGGCAGGTGAAGAGGGGACCGGGCTCCGCTCCAGGTGGCGCGGCGCTCGGGGGCGGGGAAAGGCCCGCAACAATAGCACTTTTATTTGGGATGTGGGGGGGCGGGGGGGGGCCGGGGGAGGGGCCAGCTGGGCATCTGGCGGCTCACACCTGCCTCGGCTTAACCCGGCGCGCGCGGGCCGGGCTGGGGCCCCAGGGCGGGGCGGGGGGGGGGGGTCCTAGGGCTCCGGGGGTCCCGAGGCGTGGGGGGTCTGAGGGTCCGGGGTGAGGATGTGCGGGTCCCGGGCTGGACAGTGGCCCGTGGCCGTGCGCCCTGAGCGCGGGCGCGGGCGCGGGCGGGACAGGGCGGGCGACGCAGGCGTTCTGGTCAGCGACGCGGCCTCCCCGCCGCCCTCGGGCTGTGACGTTCCGGGAAGCCGGCCTTCCGGAGGCGGCGCAGCGGTGCCAAGGGCGCAGGGAGCGGCCAGGCGCAGCAGGCGGCCGCGCGGCGGGGTGCCCGGCCAGGCGCTTCCAGGCGGCGCTGCAGGTGAGCGCGACCCGCGGGCCCCGGCCTCGCTGGCGCCCCCTGCCGGCCGGGCGAAGGGATGGCTTGGCCCACGCTGCACCTGCCTGAGCCTCGACTCACGCGCGATCCGCGAGGGCCCTGCAGCACAATCAGAGCTTGTTTGTGGGCGGAGGAGCCACGCCGGGTGCTGCAGCCCTGCGCCAGCCCACTCATCCCATAAAATATTTGTGTTTTAAAATTCCATTAATTGGCTATGTAGCTGCTTTTTCCGAGCCCCGTGCCAAGCGCAGTAAAATCACAGTCCGGCTGGAGTTATTTTCATCATGCAAATTCCCATTTCTGTAAACAGGGTTAAAGCCCAGAAAGGGCCGGGCTGAACGTGTCCTCAGACTGGGAGGTGTCAGACTCCGATCCTCTCATTGCCCCCGCAAGTATATCCGGAGGATTCCTCCAATCGCTCTCTCCTGGAAGACCACTCCCAGCACCCTACTAGGTAAAATCCCCCATTTCCTTCACTTTCTCCTCTCTCCCCATCTGAACAACTTGCATCATTAAATCACTCTCGTGTATCATTACATCGAGGCACAAAATGAGGCCCAGGAAGAGGCCTGAGGTGCTGGGTATGTTCCTGTGGGAGCCCAGTTACCTGCCACCCGGCCACCAGACCCCTGAGGGCTTGGGGAGGCGGAGGCTGGAGCCACAGGCAGCCAGGGCTGCAGGAGGAGGCACACTAACCCAGAATGCTCTCCTCCCTCCCAGCATCCCCACTTCCAGCCCCTGCCTGGAGAGGAAGATGAGGGGGTCCCTGCTGGGACCTTGCCAGCCCCTGTACCAGACATGGGAGCCTTTGCCCTGCTCTGCCCAGACAGCCTCTGTGGGCTCAGGGAGCCAAAGCAGGGATCCACTCACAAGGATTCAGCAGAGCCCAGATTCTGAAGCTGGAAGGAGAGGTTGGGACTTGAAAGAGTAAATACTGTTATCCTGTATGATAGTTACTGTTTTGCCATATTGCATCGGGGGCCTACTATGTGCCAGACACTGCTTTTTAATTTTGCTCATTTAATTCCTACAGGCCTAGGAGGTGCGTACTAATATTGTACCCACTTTTCAGATGGAGACATTGAGGCTCCAGGAGAGGAAGCCACTGCCCCAGGAGCCTAGATCTGTTGGTTCTTTGCCTCTGCATCACCTAGTTTCAAATGACCCAAGCCACCTCCTGCCTCCTGGCCCTTGGGCATCTTCCCCTCCCCTGCTTCAGACCCTGGACCCTTCAGCCGCAGAGCCCAGGGGTCCCTGTCCCTGTCCCTGTCCTGGGACACCACGCTCAGATACCCTGGGTGGCTAAAGGAAGCAGGGCTTGGGGCTTTCTGCAGGAACAGCCATCACACCCCAGAGCTTTCCTAGAGTGGTCGTAGGCTGAGTAGTACCTCCTCCACACCCACCCAAACACACACACCCAAACAGGCTGCAGGGTGTGGTTTGATAAAAGGAAGACATGGCTCAAGGTTCCAGGCTCCTGCTGGTTTTTCAAGGCAATGAGCTGCCCCTCCCTATGAGTATGCCAGCACAAGCTCATGACCCTGTCCAGCCACAGTGCCCCAGGGGTCCCTGCAGCCACCTTGCTTCTTGCCCAGAACTCAATTCCAGCCTTCGAGGGACTCAGAGAGCGGGGATGTTTCTCAGGGATCTCCCAGTGGAAATGCTGTCAGCAGCGGCCATCAGTGGATGAGGCTCCCCTCCCCCGGGGCTTCCTACTTCAGACTCAGACTCCCATGTGGCAGAGGAGGGGGGTCCCCTCCCCACTGCACAGTGAGCCACACCGGGCCATGGACTTGAGGTTCAAGCCCCTTCCCACCCATCCCCTGCTTGACTGACACCCTTCTGCCTGGAGCATCATGGGAATTAAGGAGTAGGCCACTGCCCTGCCCCTCAGAGAAGAGAGGGGATCCGAAGAGGAGCTAAGGGCTCCCCGGTATGGCCATCTCTGGCCCAGGGGATCTGGGGAAGGTGTGGGTGTGGAGAGTTAGCGGAAGGCACAGTAACTCTGGTTGGTGTGACCCCAAGCGTGATAGTGGGTTTGGGGGCGTGGCTGGCCCTATGAGCTCATGGCCTCAGAGGACAGAGACGGCCCCTCCCCTCCAGCTCCAGGGAGGGTGGGATGGGGTGCAGCTTCCTGTCAAGGACAGACATGGTCTGAGAGGACCCCAGTCCCTGCCTGGAAGCAAACACTGGTCAGACAGATACAAGGGACATTTAGACAACAAAGCCAGCCATGCTACCATGAGGACCCGGCCCTCAGCCCTCACCGAGGACAAACCATGTGGTCATGGCCACCAGAGAGGAGTGAGGGGTAGGGGGACCTGAGCAGGGAAGGCGCCCAGGTGAAGGCGGGCTTTGCGTAACGGGCAGAAGCTTTAGCAGGTGGGCAGGGGCAGGCATAGTGTTCCGGGTGGGGCACAGCACTGCAGCCCCCCGGAACAGTCAGGTCTGAGGCAGGTCTGGGACAGGAGGGCTCGTGCTGGGAGATGGGGGAGATGGGAGGTGGGCCCGGGCCCTCCCTGCCGGAGGGCATGCCCTTGGTCCCCAGGGTCTGAGGCTGCCCTGCTCTCTGTACTTTTTTTAGAGGAAAGGTGGGGGAACTCCATCTCCAAACTTGGCATGGTCTCAGCGTTGTCGGAGGACTTTTGAGGGAAGGAGGAGGAGGAGAAGGACGACGACGACGACGACAACGACGACGACAACGCAGGGTGTGTGCTGCGCGTGGCCCTTGCCTCTGCCCTGCCACTGGCTCCTGTTGCAGTGCCTGGTCTCCCCGCCTGCCTCTCCCATCCCTACCCGCAGCCCCATCCTGCCCATCTGCGAGGAGCTGTCCCATATGTGTGTCCCCTCCACCCGATCCCATTCTCCTTCCCTGTTGGTCAGGGCCCAGGTGCTCCTGCTGCCCCAAGGAGCCCGGCGGCAGGAGGCATGGACGTGGGGGCTGTCGGGCTGGCCCGAGTGCTCTGGCGAGCAGGCCTCGGGGTGGGAAGACTTCTCGCTGCTGCCCCTGAGAGGGCCCCGTCTTGGTGAGTGCAGCCTGGAGATGAAGCTGAGGACAGAGGCCACACTGCACCCCAGCCCAGCCCTGCCCTGCACTGCACCCCTCACACCTTGCCCTCCTTGACATCCGCCTCTTTGGGGAACCCTCCCTGGCCAGGTTCCCACCAGAAGACCCCCAAGGCCAGGCCTCAGGCCTCCCCTTCAAGACTGACAGTCTCCCAGGGCCTGTGACAGCCAAGCCCCACGACGCTGTGGCCTCTCATTGCCCACAACTGCACCAAGAGTTCAGCTCTCAGAGGTGGCCAGGTGCCCCCTGCTAGGGGGCCCTCCCACGGCCCTAGTGCCCGGAACAGTCCCTTTCTCCAAAATAAATATTTTTGTTAGACCAGCAACAGCTGTGGCACTTTCTGCAGTCCCCAAAGAGAAGACAGGCACAACCCCAGGCACCCTCAGATGCCTTAGTTCAGTTCATCTTCACAGCAGCCTGAAAGGTTGAGCATCTGTCAGGTTCTGTAGACGAGGAGGTGCAGTTCAGGGAACTGAAGGCACCTGGCAAAGTGGCCGAGCAAAGATTGGATCTCAGCCTGGAATCCAAGGCCCAGGTCCCTTGTCTGGGAGCCCATGCCGGGGTCATTCTGGAGGCAGCTTGAAGACAGGACAGGAGACGAGAGGCAGATGACTTGTAAGACTGTGGTTTTTCATCTGGGGCCCTTTTCTGTTTTGTTTTGTTGAGCCAGGGTCTCGCTATGTAGCCCAGGCTGGCCTCAAACTTGCAGTGATCCTCCTGCCTCAGCCTCCTGAGTGGTAAATTATAAGCCCTGGGAAAGGCAGGAAATGAGGCATCTCCTGGGCACAATGTGTGCAGTGCAGGAGGTGCTCTGGACAGACTCAGCACCCTGCGTGGGGCAGCACACCTGACCCCCCAGAAGGTGCTGTGGGTCACTTGGTCCCAGCTGATCCTTACCCAGTCACCTGGGCTCCTCAAGGCTGCAGCCCAGGGTCCCCTGCTCCTGCCAAACTCCTCGCCCTCCCCGCCACTGTCCCCACACACATCTGCAGCCTGTGCTCCAGCCAGCCGCTCACCAACCAGCAGGGAATAAACCACTCCAGGGCTCCAAGGGGCAGAAAAGAGATTTTTCCCCTGGAGAAGCCGAGCCCCAGGGAGGTTGGGATTCCAGTCGGAGCATCTGGGTTACAGGGTCCGTGTGTGCTACCTGAGCAGTACTGGGTACTGCAAGCAGGGTGCCGGCCTCCAACCCCACTGTCTACCCATCTGACCCTGCAGCCTGGGGGGCGTCGAGGCGGCATGGAGCATGATGTGGGGATGACCCTGGGCCGAGAACTTGGTGAGGACGTGTGACCACTCCAAATTTTGGGGGCCTCTGAATCCTTCCCTGGCCTGCTACACAGCTGTTCCCTGGGACAGGGAAGGGGGTACCCACTCCACACCCACACCCTCGCCCCCATTCTGACTAGGAATGGTGCACTAGGGCTGAGGCCTGGGGGTCTCCGGGTGGCCCCCACACACGGGCAAAGGGGGCTCATCCTGGGGAGCTGGTTCCATCCATCGGTGGGAGAGAAGGGGCCAGGGCAGCCCCAAGTGAAGGAGGACAGCAGGGCAGGGGGTGCAGCCTGTCGGGGCCATGGGCGGATGGTTCCCACAACATCTAGAGCCCAGGCCCCTCCCTCTGTCCACTCCCCCACTCCACCCTGCCCAGCCAGGGAGGGCAACAGGAAGTGGACCCCTTTACAAGCTGGCTGTCGGCAGCCCGCTAGCCCGCAGCCTCCCCTCTGGGCCTGGAGGGTGGGACAGCAAGAGGGAAGGGTGGGAGGTGGCCCTGGCCCCTCACATCAAGTAGCACGGTCAGGCTGGTGGCCAGCACACCCACCCCACAAAGCTCACCCTGTGCCCGCTCCCTCCAAGGACCGCAGGCTTGGGGAGGCCTGGTCACCTCCCAGCCCGACTGCTCTTCACTGTGTGGCCTTGAGCAAGTTGCTTAACCTGTGGGAACCTAACTTTCCCAGCCCCTAAGAATCACTGCCTCAGGTACGACACTGACAGGACTCATCTGCGTGCGCCCCTGCAGGCTTCCAGGAGGAGGCGGCGGGAAGGGCTTGGCCGGCAGGGGTCGCTGTGACCTGGGGCTGGGCCGGTCCTGGCTGTCCCGCCCAAGGGGACAAGTTGCCCTGTCCTCCAGGTGGCCACCTTCTGCACAGATGCCCCGCCCTCCAGCCCCTGCCGAGACCCCCCAGGCACGAGCCCCTGCACCTTGGAGGGCCGCCTCATTCCTGGGCGCACAGCAGTCCCCTCCGGGGCGGGACTCGAAGGCCTGCGACCTGCAGGACGACCTGCAGGGGGCAGGGATCTGCATGCTGCCCAGGAAGGCTTTTGCTCGGGCCTGCTGGAGGCCTTCCTGACTCGGCCTACTAGATGCAGCCCCTCTCCCCCTCAGCACCTGCCTGGCCTGGGGATGCCTCCCTGCCCAGGGAGGAAGCAATCACAAAACCCTGGAGAGCTAGAGGCCTGGGAGAGGGCTGAGGACACTTAAGAGGAGCCGATCAATCGGTGTGCTGGTGCAGTTGGGTAATCCCAGACAGATGGGAGGCTGAGACAGGAGGATCACAAGTTCAAGCCCACGTTGGGCAGCTGACCCAGACCCTGTGTCAAAACTGACAGATTGCAGTTTTAATTAGGGCCTCACCAGTGACGACGGGGTCACAACTTCAGGAGGTGAGGCAGGGAGCCGCCTCAGCTAACAGCCCTCTTGGCAGGAGTACAGGGGTCACCCCGGGGTTAGGGTTAGATTGGAAGGGCCAGATCTGAGCCACCCCAGTTCTCCCTGGGAGGAAAGGGGAGGAGGGGAGACCCTGAAGGGGGAGTCTTTTTACCCTGTGCCTCTCTTGGCCCCATAAGATCTCCCCATCAAAGCAAAAGCCACCACTTCTCTTGGGAAGCCAGGGGAGTCTTCAAGAACTTTGTCACCTCCCACCCCCATTTGTTTGCTAATAAGAAGCCTGGGGGGGGGGCGGTGTCAGCTCTCTTGTCGCCCAGCCCCCTCCCCTGCCGGCGCCCTCTCCCGCTCTCCCCAGAGTGAGGCAGTTAATTGGAGCGCCTTGAAAGTGTGCGTTAACACACAGCGAGCCGAGGAGACGGCTTGGCAGTGAAATATCATTATCACTTCCTGAGCTCCAGCCAAAATCCCCTTGCGGTCAAAACACAATTCTTTAAACTAAACAATTAGAGATTTGTGCTAGTGTGGCTGCCGTGAAGATCAGGCTGTGCGGTGGGCCCTGCCAGTGGCAGAAGTTAGCAACCTGCTCCTGCTCCCAGCCAGGTGACAGGCCAGCCACCCAGGCCCAGCTGCCCAAGCTGCCTGCTGCTGTCCTCAAACCAGCTGCAGGTTCAAGACCCCAGAGGGGAGAAGAAGGAAAAAGCAAAACCCAGGGAGTCAGGAAGCTGGGTGTGGCAGTGCAGACCTGTGATCCCAGGACTTTGGAAGGCTGAGGCAGGAGGGTCGCACGTTTGAGCCCAGCCTGTACAGTTTATCCACTCATGGAGATCCTGTCTCAACAATTATGGGCTGGTGGTGCAGCTCAGTGCAGAAGCCCTGGGTTCGATTCCAGTAGAAAAACAATAACAAAACCAGGCATGCCCAAGCCCACCCCAACCAACCCTCCTACCCTTTTTCAGGGGCTGGGGCTGGGGTTCAACATCTATTTATGGGGCCCTGGATTCTGCTGTGCCAGCCCTCTGTCCCCCGCCCTACTCACCCAGCATCAAAAGCCTGGACCTGGCATAGGAATCCCCGGGCGCCACGCTGCCCCTCCTGGCTGGGCTGTCGCCAGCCTATCTGGGACTCCAGGGGGTTGAACAGGGCACTGAAGGCCCCAGGTGAACGCCCCAGGTGAAGGCCCCAGGTGAAGGTCCCCTGGCGCCTGGAGCACAGTGCTGCCCGCTCTGTCTCCTGCGCTCCTGGACCCAGGCTCTCGCCAGTGCCCTCAGCTTTCCCTGCAGGCAGATTGTGCCCAGTGTGGAGCCCAAGGTGTGGGGCCTCACTTCCATCTCACCAGACCTCACAGAAGCTCACAGGCCAAGGTCTAGGTTCGAACACCGCCATGGCGAGCTCAGTGCATCCTGGGCCTCCAATCAGAGTCGCAGTGTGGAAGCCTCTGCTCCCAGGCATGTGCCCAGCTGGGGTCTGGGACGAAGACCCTCGAGTCCACGCCTGCTGCACCTGGAAATGCTGCTCTTGGGCCAGGCATCTCAGCTTCCTAGGCTGATAGGAGGGTTAAATGAGTTAATACAGGAAAGCACGCCTGTAATCCCAGCACTCGGGAGGCTGAGGCAGGGGGATCAGTGTGAGTCTGAGACCAATCTGGGACACACAGTGAGTTCAAGGCCAGCCTGGACCACACATTGAGACCCGTCACAAGCACAAAAATGAAAACGAAACCAGAACAGTGATCCATACCCAACCCTCAGAGAGCTGCTCTCTCCAGGCTTTTCTAGTGGGTTCCTAGCAGCTGTCACCTCTCCCTTAACTGTGCCCACAAACTCGTGCCCTTGGGCAGGGCTCACCCCTCTCCATGCTCCCAGCACTCTGCTCCCAGTCATTCCTTGAGCACCAGCCAGGCTCCTCCTGCCCCAGGGCCTTTGCACATGCTGTGCTTCTGCCTGGAGTGTTTCCCCCTTATTTCTCACAGCTCTGCCCTACTTTATCCAGTCCTGCTTCACCATCACCCTCAGAGGCCTTTCCTGAAATGGCACCCCCTCACCTTGCTCCAGTATCCCTCTTTCTCCCCTTACCTTGCTTTATTTTTCATCCAGCTACTCATGCCTTTTCGACATTATATGCACATTAATTTATGTATTTAATGATTGCCTTTCTCCTTGTTTTTGTTTTTTTGAGACAGGGTCTTGATACATAGTTCATGCTGTCCTTGAACTCACAGCAATCCTCCTGCCTCAGCCTCCTGAGTGCTGGGATTACAGGCCTGGGCCCCACACCTGGCCACCTTTCTCCTTTGCCCTGGTGCATAAACTCCATGAGGGCAGAAGTGTGTCTGCTTGTTTAGCCCTGAGCTCCGAGGCCTGAACAGAGCACGACACACAGCAGGCCTCAATATCTACAGGACGAATAGGTCCCTCGAGTTGAGGTACCTGGGGCCTGAAGACGGGAGAGGGACTTTCCCAAGGCCACAGCTGCCCCGGGTGCACCTGCGGCCCTAGGAGACCCCTCTGCTCTGCCACGGCAGCAGTGACCGTTCCGGGTCACACGGGGGAACCCGTGGCCCTGGCTCTTCAGTTATCTCTGTCAAACACTATTTACAATAAACTTTGTTTGAACTTTCGTCTCAGTGATAATAATAATAACACGGTAATTAC